TTTAACTATAAATAAGATCATTCATGTGTAGAGGCACTAAGCTAATAAATACTTTCAAACAATAATATTCTTTATTCACTTGTTTATTTCACTTTTTTTTATATACTTTTTAAGTTAATGAATCTCTTTTTTTTATAAAAAAAATTCATTCTAAAACATTGAGTTAGAGAAAGAAGAAGGTAAAAAGAAAAAGATACTAACTCTTGTAACTCTAACTTTAAAGGAGTATTTTATGTTCGTTTTAAATGAATAGCAAATATACTTTTATATTTATTATTTTATCATTATTTTTAATTACCAAACTGAATTGTAAAAATGAATAACATCAAAATCTAATTCTAACTTTTCCCAAAAATTAGTAACCTCGTGAAAGATGCAGTCCAATTTAGAGTAAGACTGAGAAGAACCGAAGGAGAGTCTTTCTTCCTTGCCAAAGTCATGGCGAGATAAAGTGTTGTTTGAAGATATAAAATTTAATGAACTAGCATGTTGACAACTTGATTAGAGTACCGAATAAATTTAATGAAATATGTATATGAATAATGAAGATTGATTATTAGTTAGTAAAAGTCAAAGGAAACTTTATTGCTTTCTCAAAATGCATTGAAATTTGGTGCAAAATGATGTTTTGAGTGAAAATACGAAACCATGTTGGAAGAGAAGAATATGATTTCCATCACATCAGTTTGGCTAGTTGCGAGTTGATGGACGAAAACGTGGACGAAGATGATGTTAATTGTGTCATATTATTATTGATATTGACATATATGTTTATTCTTTTCTTCTTCCATCTATTATCCTGTTTCACGTGCACTCATGCTTTGAAAATGGTTGAATTGCTGTATGAAAAAGGAATGCTACAAATTCAAAATTAAAACTTATTAATATTCGACTCAAAATTAAAACTTTATTGTTGATATTATTCTTTTAATTAGCATTATTATAATTATTTCTATTATTAAATTTATTACAATTTAATCGGGATACATAATCGCTATAATTATTCACTGTATTTAAAAAAACATGATTTAGCGTACTTTATTATATTATTTTATATTTTATCCTAAGTTATAATACACTACAGAGGAATATCTGATTTCAAAAGAATAGGTATACCTTTTTACTGTATTATAAATATGTTTCTTTTATTTTTTAATAAGTTTGGCCAATATCATATCAGAATATTACATTTTATATCACCAAATTTCTTACTATTTTTATTATAAAAAATAAGGTAATGTTATACTATTTTTGTCAAGTCAAAATTTAAGGTTATTTTGGCAATATTTTTTTTTATATAGAAAATCTACTTACAACTGGTCCTTTTAATAACTCTTCATATTGAATCTTGTCAATCAACATTATTAAAAAAATATGGGTTTATATTGACCATCATATTAAATTTTAGATAAATCAAAATTTCATAGATATATAATTTTATAATCAATAGTTATTTATATTTTAAGAAAATGTATTAAATATTAAAATAAATTATTTTAATAAATTATTATTTAATCTTTTATTTGTATATTTTTTATAAATTTGATTTATTTATATAAAATTAATTTAATGATTTAAATATTAAATAAAATAACTCTTGTTTGAATTACTCTAAAAGTAATTTGATTGTAGCTTTTTCTATTAATTTCTTAAAATCTAGTAACATTAATTACGGAATGCATACGCTGATAAAAAAAACTAAAAATAAAAAAAAATATTTAAATTTAAATTATTTAAAATGTAACGTAACCCAATTAAACTACATAAATAATTGTCAACATTACTTACAATAATACTTATCAACAACTGAGTATAAAATTGTACATTAGACATTGGAGTTAAGTTTCAAAATTTTAATCATCATGTTTAGATTTCTATTTAGAATTGAGATTATAATTTCATATATCAATCTCATAGAATTCTGTAATAACTAAATTTGGCCCATTTCAATTAATAATCTGTATGGTAAGAATTTAAATTCCTAATATCATAATTCATAAATACACTTTCACATATCATGTCTTTTTGTCTATGCAGTTCATTGTCTCTGTAGTTCTTATTCTTCTGCATGTACTTTTTGCTTCTCTCTTCCTTTATTCTCTCTTTCTCTACATCTTTCTTCCTCCTCTTATATTTTTCTGTATTATCTTATCTTTTTAACTCCACTTTTATGTTAATTATGTATATCACTTTATTTATGTTAATTATATAATAAATTATTTAACTTTTTAAAAAATTATTAGATGTCAAAAGAAATATTAGAAAGAACTATTGAGAGTACAAAAGAAACCAAAAAAAAAGCTAGTATTAGATGCAATAGTTATTACAATAATTACAATAACTTTATGGTATAAATATACTTAGAGAGCCAATAGAGAAGAGTGATAAAGAGATAAGAAGAAATATACTTGTGAGGGGATTATATCATATGACTGATAAAAATTATTATAATCAATTATTTTTTATTAAATAAGTTTTTTTTTTAAACTTTGTAACATTTTACGTGAATATTTTTTATTTTGAGTTTATAGTTTAGGTTTTAAAGATCTTACTATTTTATATTTTAAGGATGATATTTTAATTTACATTTTAAATTTAGAGAATTAAATTATATGGGTGAGTATTCGTATGTTTTCATCTAATGTAAAAGAAAGATAGTTTATGATATAATATTAAAATTTAATAATAAATTAAATATAAAAAAATAAATTTACTATGTCATAATTTTTTAAAAATAAATATTAAATTATTATTTAATTATATCATCTTTAATAATTTATTTAATAATTATTTTTATATTTTTAATTGACACATTATTTTTTAAAAATTTATTAAGTAAAATTTTAATACAAAATTAAATTATTTTTAAAAATTTTAAATCTTACATATGTACTATAAAATTTAATTTCAACTTAAAATTTTAATTCTACCTTCTAATTCTTTAAATATGTCAAACATAAAATTATAATTTTAAACTAATTCTAATTATTATGAAATTAGAATTATAATTTTAAACTCCAATCTAATTTTATGTACTAAATAAATCTTAAAATGTTTAATTTCTTAATGAAATAGTAAGCATTCACTTTCCACATTTTTCTTTATGGTCTCCTCTATTCCTTTTTCTTTAATCTTTGTTAGTAAAGTATATTTACTATTTTTTTTTCTTTTTTTTTAATCTCTATATTCATCTGTGTATTTATTCAAAAATTGGTGAAACTATTTTTTTTAATTTCTCTTTTTTACAAGTAGATATGCACAAATATTTTAAAGTTTGAGACTTCACATCTTTTACGGTAACTCTAAGCATGGAGAATGTTATAACTTGCTTTTGTGTACTAATTAAATTTTTGTCGCAGTCCTTAATAATAGTTTTTTTTGAGTACTTATGTATAAAAAATAAATTGTATCTTCGTACCAAGAGGATCCTACATGCTTTCCAGCATTCTAGGAATATAACATTTGAATAACAAGAGCTTAAAAGGATAGGTATTGGAAGAACTCCAAAACAAAATTTGATTGATGGTTGAAGAGAAATGCTAGAACTCTATGCGTATAGTTTCTATGCATATAATTTTACTGTGTTGGTTGTCAAAACTCATGCTAGAACTAAGCGGAAGAAAAAAACAAGAGAGACACATCTTTAAAAACCGTATATTTCATTCACGAAAGTAATGACTCCTAGCATTGTTTTACTTATTTTTATTTTTTATTTAACAAAAAACCGTATATTTCAATTATTAAATAAAAATTAATAATATGTTCTTTTTGTGATTTTAAAAAATTGAAAAAAATAAAACTTGAATAAAGGTTAATTTTCAAAATGTCATATTTTGAAAAATATATTTAATTAAGTAAATAATTTTATTAAAAATATGATATAAATATATCAACAACATTAAATATTATTTTTATATAAAAATATATTTTAAATATTTGATCGTGTGCCAAGACATCAATTAGTGTGTTTCCTTATAAGTAGACTTTGTGTCCCCAATCTAATTTTAAGAGTGATCCAATAAGGTGGAATGGAGAGTTGGACTCCTAAGACATAACACGGCCCTTAATATGTTCAATTTGGGTGAATTTCTTTTGTCAACTCAATTTGAGCTTTAGATTTTTGGTCCTTTAGCAAAATTCTTTCTTTAATCAAAGTCAATTTTTTTTCCTATTATTATTATTTATTGTTAACATTATTTTCCAAATTGATAAATTAACTAATTTTTTTTCTAATTAGTTCATATAAAAGTCTTTTATCTCTTGTGCTAAAACTTAAAAAGCATTTTGTGATCCTTCATCTTCTTTCAACTAAATCTACGGTCCATGGCTGCCGCTACCTTCAATTCCATCATTGCAACAACACAACTAATTTGAAGAGAGAGAAAGAATAAGTATCAAGTTTCTTGATGACGTGCGTTCCAAACTAAGCACTTTGCGTTCTACGTAAGCATTGATTTAATTTGGATTTGATTTAGGTATCCATTGATTTATGATAAGTATTTGAAGTTATTTGTATTTTAATACTCAGAAAAGACATATATTCTCCTACTTATTATTTAATAATTTTTTGTTTTATAAAGTAAATATTAAAAAAAATACACATAATTATTATTTTGAAAATATGGAAATTATTTAACAATTTTTCGTTTAATAATTTAAAAAATTAGAGACACAAGCATATCGAAGGATTTATAATTTTTCTTTAAATAATGTTGGAATCCACTTAGATTTTCTGATAGATGGCTGAATAACTGTAGCTTCTTTCGCCTGCTATAGAGTCAAGAAATACAATCTCAAACAACAAATCTGTTCTAATTAAAAAAATGAAATAATGTAATGAGACAAGACTCCAAACTTTGATTTTGTTCTTTTTCTTACTCGTCAATTCATTTCATTTTAGAATATAATACAGAATCATGATAATAAATAGACCAATTATGAATGAGACGAAACCAAAAAGAACGAAAGAAACCATGCCCCATTTAACGTGTCTTCTAAAATCAACGACCCCCAGAGAGAAGTGATTCAGCAACAGATGAAGTATGGGAGAGTGGCCTATCCATAGAAGATGGATAAGACATAGGACAATCCTGAAAGTTTTCATGGTGCCCAAAAGTTAAGCCAGTGGGAGATAAACTAAGCAGAGACATATCTGGCAGGGGCACATCCCTCTCCAAGTATTGCACAACTTGGCGAATAGTTGGCCTAGCCAAAGGCTCTGAATGTGAGCACAACAAACCAAGTTTCAACACCAACTCAACTTCATCTGGCCTATAACCTGGTCCCAAGTTTGGATCCTTTGCCTCTAGAATTTCACCTCCTTTCCAACAATCAAACACCCTATCAACCAGAATTACACTCTCCGATTCTCCTACTTGCTCTATGGGCCTCCTTCCACAAGTAACCTCTAGCAAAAAAGCACCAAAAGCGAACACATCAGAGCTTGTAGTTGCCTTACCAGTTCTGGTATGCTCAGGTGCAAGATACCCAAGAGTTCCAACCACATGGGTAGTTTGAGGATCAGTTCCATGGTTATACAACCTTGCAAGACCAAAGTCCCCTAATCTACCATTCAATTCTGCATCTAGTAATACATTGCTAGCCTTAATGTCTCTGTGGACCACAACTTTCTCACATTCTTCATGTAGATAGAACAGACTTGAAGCAACCCCTTTGATGATTCTGAATCTCTGGCTCCAATTAAGGGTCACTCTTGGTTGGTTATAAAGATAATTGTCTAGGCTTCCATTTGGCATGTAGTCATAAACCAAAAGCAACTCTCCCTTGCGCCTGCAATAGCCCAAAAGGGGAACCAAATTCCTGTGGCGAAGACGGCCAATGCTAACAATTTCTGCCACAAATTCCCTCATCCCTTGTCTGGATTCATGGGATACCCTCTTCACTGCAACCTCAAGTTTGGAAATTGGCATCACACCCTTGTAGACTCTACCAAATCCTCCACTTCCCAATAGCTCCTTTTCCCCGAACCCCTTTGTTGCCAAGTTAAGATCTTTGTACTTGAATCTATGTGGACCATAGTCCTGCTCCCAATCTTCAAGCAACTCAGCAAATTTCTTCCTTTTGATGACATGAACCACTGCTAGAGCTACCATAAGAACCAAACTGAGTGATATCAAAGGCAACCCAACAATTAAAACCCTAGACTCTTCTTTATTACCTAGTCTTGGTAGCTGAGGGAGTTCACAGGTTACAAGTTGTTGAGCTTGGCCATTGACCTTAAAGCTCCAACCAAGAACATAATGGGAAGTTAGGACTGACCCAGTTGAGGATGAGAATCCAACATACATGCTACTGTTCAGAATTGGAGAAAGATCTTTAGTCAATGATAACAGAGGACTTTGTGGTTTATCCATGTTGATTGGAGCTAAAGTAACATCAATCTGTTTTTTTATCCCATCATATTCCACCCATACTTGCATGGGGTAGCCACTAATAAGGCTCAAATTCTTAAACGCACCATTACTATAATACCCTGCAGCAGCTGATTTAGTTGACTGCAATCCATTGATGTCAATTCCAACATGGTTGTCATTGATATCAGAAAACTCGCTGTTCAGAATGGTATCAAGTTCAACACCAAACACATTGTTGCTGCTGTTACCGTTGTTAGTCTCATTGAATAGACCAAGGTACTGGCTTTGCAGAGAATCTGGAAGTCCTTTTGTTGGGGAAACCACAAAAACAATCCCATGACCACCCAAATTGGGATACTCTGATCTTATGGCAAACACAAAAGTAGAGGAGAATGAAGACACAATTCCATTTGAGGTGTTTTTGAAAACTATAGGATTTGGGTAGAAAGCATGACCCTTTTGTTGCTTGGTGGCATTGGTGAGTTTAAGCAAGCCATTGGTGGTGAGCTCAGAATTACCATCAAGATACAAATGAGATGATTGGAACCCATCATAGGTGAAACTGGTATCTTCACAAGCTATCACTGTTACCAGCAAAAATACCATTGCTACAAACTTGAAAGACATGGTTTGAAATATTTTGCAATCTGCCTCTGCACAATGTTACTTGTTTCTATGATTTTCTCGGGCGACCAAAACGTGAAGCACACCTTTGAACTTTCAGTTGAGTCCTTCGAGGAAAGATCCTTGCACTTTCACTGTTAAAAAAACGAACTTCCTCGCAGTTACCTCTCTAGGTGTTAAATGAGGAAAGTGACCATGCAAGAGTTGTGATTACAAAAGAGCATAGCGAAGTTACATCACTTTCATCTTATCTATTCACACTTTACTTTTTCAAAATTGCATGTCACTCTTTTAATTTAGAAACAAAGTTTTCCTTCGGTAAAGAAACTAAATGGACTAAAATGCTATTTTATTAGCATTTTGTAAGTGATATGAATAACAAGAGGGAAATAGGATACAGTGGAAATAATATTTTACTAGTCATATTTTCCAAGTACAATTTCCAATTCAGTTAGATAAGTGTCCATATTCTATCGCCATGACAATCATTATTTAAGAGACACTTGTTGCAAGGGGAGAAAATAACGGGAACTTGAGAATTTGTGTTTAGGGAAGGTTCCTAATTATTGAAGTTTGCAACTACGGTCAAATAGAACATGACAAAGAGGTAAATCGGGGGGCCTTTCTTAACCAGGTGATATACCACATTCAACAATTTGCCAGAAAAAAGGAGACAAAAGAAAAGGAAAAAGAGAAAGAGAAAAAGAGAAAATGAGAAACAGGAATAAAGCCTGTTTTAACTCTTGCTTCATATCTTGTTTATGCTTTGTCAAAGAAACGTAGTACAAAATTGGCGCTTTATTGTGATTTTAATTTGGTGTCTTCCCCATTGGAATAATAGTTATTGGGGCTTGTGAGACGAATAAAGTGGTTTTCTCTTTCGTGTGATTTAGCCTTAACATCATAGATTTTGTCCGATCGAATGGTCGTGTTTGGCTTGTGACATGGCGCTAGATACATTTCAAATCAAAGTTTAGTTTTCAAGTATGAGGAAACAAAAGTGACGAAAATTGAAATTTTAATATGAACGAAAGATTTGAGCTTACCATGAATGGATGAAATAACATATTATAATTTATTCATAATATAACATAAAAAATAAAAATTAACCTTTTTACTAAAACTAATTTATCTTTCGCACTTTTAATTGCAAATTTTATACATTTAAGTATTAAGACAAGGTTAAATATTTCTATACGTGTTATCTATATATGTTTAAAAATTTACTTTTATTACTCATGTGGTAAATGGATACACAGCATCAAACGGTGAATTCATACATTCATTAGTCTTTTAATAATAAGGAATTATAATATGTGTGTGTTTAGATTAGCTAAAAAAATAAATTTTAATAATCGATTATATCTATTATCGATTATTATGGTAGTTGATTGTATAAAATAAACTTTGTGTATGGATATATTAAAAGAAAAAGTGTTGAGTTTGAATAGTATAAAATAAAGTAAAGTTACTAAAAAAAGACATGAAGTTAGTTATAGTTTATTTTTATTTAAAATAATAAATTATTGAGAATAAAGTAAAAAAAAAAAAAGTTAACTAGAAAATAAGTTGATAAATTTAATCATAGGATTTAAAATTTTGCTTATGCTGTACTAATTATTTCCTTTGTAAAAGGATTAATTAAAGATTATAAATTAACTTTTTAAAATTTACCAAACAAAAATAGATAATTTATTCGGATTTAATAAGTAAAACTCATCTCATCCTAACACCCCCTAAGTTCCTTAGGCTCACGTTTTGTGCAGAGAATAATGATTTTAATGTCACTATGTCACATGCCTTAAATTCATAAGAAATATTAATAAACTTTTAGAGCCCAAAATAGCTGCTAAGAAAAATAGTAAGGGTGTATTTGGGATATAATAATAATATTAATAAGCTTTTAGGGATCGAAGTAATATTTCCACTCTTAACCTCCAAAACCCAACTCTAAGAAAACTAATTAATCAAAACTCATGCTAAACCACGTCTATTATATCTATAGTTTAAGAATCATATTTTAATATATTTTGACTTGATTAAACATAGCAAATTATATAATAAAAAACTACTAAATCAATCAATCAGTTTTTTTTAAGGCTTCTTTCAAAACTTCTTCATCTAGCATTATCACATCTTTTTGTGTAGATGTAAGCTTTGATTAACAACTTTGTTTCTTCTAACGCTAACTCACATTCTTATTGTATGAAAAAAATTAAGTATTTTTACTTGCTACAAATTAAAGTTAGTAAAATTTTCAATGTAAACTTCACAAATACCTTGATACTATTTTGTTGTGATACTAGTAGGATCTTCTATTGTAAGGATGAAAAAATTAGAGATATAAAAAACTTCTCAATACATTGTAGGAGAGAATTGATGAAAGAATAATTGCTTTTTTTTATTATATTACTTTAATGGAGAACAAGTATTTATAAAGAAGTAGAAGAAAGTTAACAGGATATAGAACTACTTAACTGAATTACAATAGATTTAGCTGAATTACACTTAAAATTATATTATATCGGTAACAGATCTAGGCAGTGTGGGGCGAAGGATGGTGAAAGGTGCACTTTGTGTCCCATTCAACTCTTCCTATGCTTTCCTTTGGTCTCTCTCTGAGTGTTATACTTACAAATTAAAATGATTTAAACTAGAAAATATACATATAATCAATTGAGGCTCTTGCAAATGAGATCTTTTTCAAAAGATTTTGCAGCTCTGGAAGTATTTATCCTTCGCATGTTTAAAATGGATTTTTGGCACGAGACAACGCATGGATAAGGGAACAACTGAGTATAGAGTCAATGTTGAGGGTAGTGCCTTTTCAATCCTGTTTACAGCCTCGGAACAAGCAACTGAAATTTGAATGTTAATTTTGAGTTTATGCTGACTTCATTGTTTTTTTAGTTTTCTCTTAATATTTATGCTCTTGCCACTTATTTTAAAGTTTAAATGATTATACATTGCTTCTCAAAATTATTTATTATTGAGTTTGCTATTAGAACTAATATATTAAGTTTTAGTTGCAACAACATTTTGTTCTTTTAAATATTCACAATTTTTGTATTGCATTTGGTTTCAGAACTTCTCATGGCAGCTGCAATTCGATTTGCTTGCATCACAAATACACTGTAAGAGTAACTTTTAATTCTCCAAGCTCAACATCAAAACGAAAAATGAGAGAAGTGAATAACATCAAGCACAACGTTAAGAATTCGACATAATGAAGCATTGAAAAAGTAGTGGCTCTCAAGGTTAAGAGTAATGGCCTAATATTTTATTTTATTTTTAAATTTTGCTAATGGATGATTTATAAGAATAATGGTCCAAAAGTTTGTGGCAGTTTAAACCAACAGAAATAGCATATCATATTTTATTTTTAAACATCTAATAGAAAATATTGTAGCTATTTTTTACAGCTATAAAGTATACTTTTTACATCAATTCTAATTTATAATTGATTGAATTTTGCATTGTCTTTGCAATCAATGTAAAAAGTTACTAAATTGTATATTGATTATGTATAAATAGGTTCTTGAACCAATATAAAAAGTTAATTATAAATATGATATTACAGGGTCGTACAATAATTAGCTTATGGGAAGCAAGAAGCATGAATACAATACATATATAAATTCGAAATAGTGATACAATAAAAGTTTAAAATCTTAAAACAAGATTATAATGTGATATCTAAAATATTTAATTATTGTGGTATTTTAATCAATAATAATATTAAATTAAGATAATAAAAGAAAAGGTATACAATGAATTAAAGTCTCAAAATATTACATAGGGTTCTAAGATAAATACATGTTTAACATAGTTATGACAAGGATATTATCTAGAAGTGTGCGTGCTTCTTAGCTGGAAAGAAGGTTAATTTGTCACCACAGATTTCAAGCCCCGGAAAGTTCGATTGGATTAATTCGAGAAAGTCACCTACTCCATCCACAAAATCCCAACATAATATCACCTGTGATGGGTCGTTTTGCTATTTCCCATTTTTTGTTTTTGGTTGTTATTATTTTCTGTTGAGGCGCTGTCGTTTGGGCCTGGTTCGTGGGCCTGGACCATTGCAACAGTATCTTTTATTTTGGACCTTGGGCTAAAATTTGACTTGGAGAGCCTCCCACCACCACCCAATCTGTATTTTGCTGTGCTTATTGGTTATCAATCTATTTTGGACTGTTAACCAAAAAAAATAGTTTGGGACCAAAAAGAAAGTTAAAAAATATTTAAAGTTTGTTTGTTTTCTATTATTAAAAATATTTTTTTTAAATAAAAAATAAAATTTGTTTGTAAATATAAATTTTATTTCATTTTCTTCTTAAAATTAATTTTTAAAAAATGTTTTAAAATATAATCTTTAAAAATTAAATCAGAAATAAACACTCTTATTCTATGTCTTTTATTTTTAGTTCCTATTTTTATTTATAATCCTTATCTTTTCATTTCGGTCACTAACTTTTCTATAATATGTAATAGTAAATAGAGATTAAAAAGCTAACATAATAAAGTAAGGACTAAAAACAATAAACAGAAGCTAAGAAGTAAGAAGAAAAGGAACTAAAATCAGTAGACCAAAACTAAAAGATAAAACAAAAGAAAAAGGTCATGTTGAGAAAAATAATAATAACTATTCTAAAACATATAGTCCCTCTAGTTTCAAATATAAGCGAAAAATAACTTAACTGTTGTTAATAAAAAAATTTAATTAATTATATTTAATGTTCTTAATTTTATAAAAAAAAACTATAGTTTCTAATATATTCTTCACAATATTTATTGCACTAAATAATAAATCACTTAAGGATAATTTAAATTTTAAATTAGCATTAAATTCTATTGGATGATGGTACGTATAAGTTGTTATGCTGAATGTGAATGTCAAAGATTAAAAAAACACAACTTTCAAGAAGAAACTTAAATTACAAGTGTTTTAAATAATTTTCTTTCACTCTAAAAGTTGAATATCATGTCTTGAAAATTAGAAAAATAAGTCATTGAAAATAAAATCTAATGATAAAGAATATTGTGAGAAGAAATTGATTAAATTATATAAAATTAATTAAAATTTATTTATATTTTGGACTTTCACGTCTTAATTTGTATTTGTTTATATTTGAGACTAAGAAGGATATTATTTAACTTGTTATGAAATTAAACGGGACCAATGCTCCTCTTTCCACTCTTCTTTCAATTGACTTTGATTCAAATAAGTGATTACAATTAATGTCTCATTTTTTACTATTTTCAATCCTATTTATACAAAATAAATACATAATTTATCGTATCAATTAAAAAATAATCAAAATAATAAATTTATACTCTATTTTAAGAATACTTATAATATTAAGTAGTCAAATTTATTTATTTTTTGCTAGAATTAAGTAGTCAAATTAGTGTATTATATATTAAATGAATGTATAAGTAAAGGATGGATACGTGGTCAACATAATTCTTATAATAAAGAAGTGTATAAATTTTTTTTAATAATTAATAAATTTAAAAGAGTCGTTATTTTTTATATTTATAACAAAAAACTTTAATGATAGAGAGGGAATATATTTTATCACTTTAAAATACTCAAATAATATATATTTTATTACGGTATATTTCGAGAGAATTTGAAGTGTGTATATGTAACTTCTCCATGTTGTAATCACAGCTTCACAGGTAAGGCCAAACTCTTTACCAAGATGAGTTGTTATAATCTTTGCACATTGCTGGCTTGAAACAGACGACAACAATACCATTCCCAGAGTCAGTTGCAATTGAAAGCAATCTTAAAATGGCAAGTGGATTGTTTGCAATTTTAAAAGCAAAATTTACATCAAAGTATGTGCATTATCCTTTTTCTTAACCACTGAAACCCACCTTTATTTTGCACATTTTAAGAATGATGTGTTTCCATTCAAAAAGCTATTATCTTTCAATAATGGGCATCACAGCTGGGATCTCTTCCATTCAAGGCAATCATGTCTGAAAATTAATTTTATATAGCTACATTGCTTTTAGTGACAAGTTGGTGCTCATTGATAATGAGTATTTTCTAGCTACGTTTCAAAAGAATGTAAACCAAGAGGAAGCAACGACCAAATCTCAGCCAATCAAATTACGTTATCTCTATCCCTTTCGGCTATGCATTTCCGTAGTTGACATGAATGGGAAAAATAGCAACTCTTTTTTCATAATTCCTTTTCTTTTGTGTGTGTTGAAGCCACAATTTTCACGAATAAAATGTTCAAAATAAAAAGTGAACAGATGACTGAAAAAAGCAATACAACAATAGCAAGTTTTACGCAAGTTAAATAATTTTTTTTAAATTTCAATAAAAAAATAAAAAAGCATTTAAGAGATAAGAATATTATTATTATTATTATGAATCCTACTTCCAAAAACATTATTGTAACGAATGAGTATCTGTTTAATTCTTCGTAATTAAAAAATTTAAACTTGAAATTTAATTTCTAGATTTCAGCGTCTAGAAATTAACTTGATTAATAGGAAAAAAAAATAGTATATGCAGGAAGATGAAGATGTTTAACACCTCTTTTACTTCTTCAGTAGAACCTGCAGACATTAGCATCTTTGTTTTTTAATGCCAAACTGGCCCCGCAACCAGATCTTACGTACATTGATGCATTGATTTAGGTTCGGTTTCTGTTTCTATACATAAAATTCAACTAAATCAAAATAACATCATAAATGTATTTATATTATTTTTATTATATTTTTACATAAAAATTATTATCATAGTAACAAGTTACTCTTTAGTGTAAATAAAAAAAATTAAAAATACCATAAAATAATTATATTTAAAATAACAAATATTTAAAAATATAAAATAAAAATGTTTCAAAAAAATTAAAAAGGAAAATCAATATAGTTTATTTTAATTTCCATACTACACTAAAATTAATCAATTTATTTCTGTCTTATTTTAAATAAAAGTTGAACTAAATCAAATCATGTATTATTTTTGTTTTGATTTAGATTTTTAAGTAAAAACAAAATTGAAGTAAATAAAAATGTGGGCGCTCCGAGGAACCATAGTGTTACAAGACACGTCGCGTCGCAACTAACCTAAAAGAAAGGATCTTTCCTTTTCAATACGAAGGCAGATAGGATTGTGGGGTTGGGAGGAAGTAATAACAGGTGGACCCTTTCTGTCACTTCTTTGTGTCTACACACTTCTATCTGCTTCCTTTCTTTTTTTATTTTATGTAATTTTTTGTTTTTATAAATATCATATGACGGAGTCTCTCTTAATTTAAAAATAAAAACTTTATCTTCCCCTTTCTGTGGACGGAAATTAGTTGAATTTTTGTTAATAGATTGATTAGATTCTGTGATGAATCATTACGTAGTTCTTACTCTAAAAAACACAAAAATCCTTTACAATCATTACGTAGTTCTAGCAGAGGTGGAATTTTGGTAATCCGTGCAAGGCAAGGTTCTTGAATATGGAATTTTAGATATGGAACTTGTAACTTCATTGTGGAGTTGAACATCTTTCCTTGATTTTCAAACCATTATTAAATCCTCCAACTTCAATTGCGGCTCTAATAATGATGTAAATTTTTATGTTTTTACAACCACATTGCGGCCATTGCAACTGCATTGATTTAATTGGTCTGTAACTTCAGTCACTACTGTAATGCAATCGAAGTTTAAAAATATGGTTTATAAAAAATTAAATAATTAATAATTAATTTAAAAGTAGGTTATGTTTTTTATATTTTAGGGTTTAATAATTAAGTAGGTTAGGTAATTTAAAAATAATTAATTTAATAATTAATATCTATCCATTCACAAGGCACACAAAAATACATAACCAAGCAAAAGATGATTATCTAATAGGTAGGAAGATTTGCCTAGCTATGTGAAGAAATGAGGGAGGAGAGACAACAAAAATTGTAACTCAATGATTTTTCCAGTTCATTCATCATGTCCAAAACTTTCTATAATTGAAACATCATGTTAAAACAAACTAAATTTCTATAATGTAGGATCACCTTGTTTCTCCTCTACCATGGAGAAGGGAATGAGGTGAATTAGCAAATGAAAGAAAACTAGTATCCATGTCTCTATTTCCAAAATTGGAGCTTGAACTCATCTTATCAAAGGAAGAAGATGCAAGTGAGTGCAAGAATTCATCAAAGCCCTCCTGGTGGCTTATATCTCCTGGCTTTCTCAAGTCCTCTGGCAACTCAACTTCCCCATCCAAATACCTCAAAACTTGTCTCATGCTAGGCCTAGCAGAAGGCACATCATTGGAGCATATCAACCCCAATTTCAACACCATGAGCACCTCCTTTTCATCAAAATTGCCATTCAGTTTAGGATCCACCACATCAAGTATTCTCCCCTCTTTGTACCTCTCCCACACCCAATCCACCAAAACCAACTCTTCTGGCAATGCCTTAGGCTCAATAGGCCTGCGCCCACAAGCCACCTCTAACAAAAGTGCCCCAAATGCAAACACATCAGAACTTGTTGTTGCCTTTCCTGTTCTAGGCAACTCTGGTGCCAAATAGCCTAAGGTGCCCACCACCCTTGTGGTGCTTGGATTTGCCCCATGTTCATACAATCTTGCCAAACCAAAATCACCTAGTTTTCCATTCAGTTCAAAATCTAGCAGCACATTACTAGCCTTCACATCTCTGTGTATCACCACCTGCTCATACCCCTCATGTAGATACAAAAGAGCTGAAGCAACCCCCTTTATTATCTTGAACCTTTGCTCCCAACTTAGGACAATCTTTGGTTCATCAAACAAGTACTTGTCCAAGCTCCCATTAGCCATGAAATCATACACAAGAAGCAGGTCACCGCGGCGGCGACACCAGCCAAGTAACTGAACCAAATTCCGGTGGCGAAGCCGGCCTATACTGGCTATTTCCGACACAAATTCCCTCAGGCCTTGTTTAGATTCGTGTGAAACTCGCTTAACAGCAACTTGTATCTTTGAAATAGGCAATGTTCCCTTGTAAACTCTGCCAAAACCACCCTGCCCGAGTAGCTCTTTGTCCTTGAAACCTCTCGTAGCTTTCTTTAGCTCTTGATATGAGTACCTATGAGGCCCAATTTCAAGTTCCCATGCTTCTATCACATCAGCGTTCTTGATCTTTCTAAACAAGTAAATAGCAATGGATACAGCACCTAACACAATAACAACAACACTGACTGAAACCCCTATTACCAAAGATGTCTCTTTCTTCTTCGGTTGTGGAAGTTGTGGGAGAGAAGAGAGATCAAGGGGTGGTGCTGGTCCATTGATTTTAAAGCTCCAACCCAAGATGTAATGGGAGCTAGCAAGCAAACCCGTTGATGCAGAGAACCCAACATACATAGTATCATTAAAAATGGGTTTGAGATCCACATGAAAGGACAAGATTGGTTTTTTGGGTTTTGTTGAAGTTGGAGAAATTGTAACATTGACAAGATTTTGTGCAGAATCATAATCAACCCAAGCTAGAATGGGTTTCCCACTTTTCAGATTTAGACCCTCATTGGTTGAATCACTAGTGTAGTAACTGGCATTAACAGATGCATTGGACTGCAAGCTATTGATGTCGATTCCAACATGGTTATCATTAATATCCCCGAACTCAAAGTCTTGGACAGTGTCAAACTCAGCAGCAAAGAGATGGTTGGAGAAATTACCAACATCGTTGGAGTTAAGGAGACCCAGGTACTGACTAGGTAGAGCATTGAGATCCTTAGAGCGTGCTATCGTGAAGGCCAAGCCATGGCCACCAAGTTTGGGATACTCAGGGACAATAGCCAGAGCAAATGATGAAGAAAAGGAGAAAACTTCACCAGTTGTGGAGTTTTTGAACTGAAAAGGTAATGGGTAAAAAGCATGACCCATTAATCTGCTTGTTTCATTTGTCAATTTCAGTATCCCATTTTCCTCTATCTTTGCCACCCCATTCAAGGTTAGGTTGTTGGCACCCACATCCTTAAATCCAGCATACAGAAGCTGGTCAATCTGAGATGAAACTGGGATCAAAAGGAAAACCAAAAAAGTTAAGAGTTTGAAAAGGTTGGCCATGATGAACAAGAGAAGATATAGAAATGAGAAGGACAAGAGCTTGAGTTATGAAAAGGTTGATGAAAGTAGAATGTAAAAGTTTATGCGTAGTTGAATTGAGGAAAGTTGGGTGAGGTAGATCTTGGAGGAGGAGATAGGAGGTGACCAAAGAGAATGATATGAAGAAAGGATACAAATTAATGGTTCACATGGGCCAGCAGTTATTATAGATCACAGAGTGAAAGTAAAAGCTTTAGAGGTTGGGCTTCGCAAGAATTCAAAATGTCTTAACCTCATTGAAAATAGATATTTTAAGTATTTTATTTTATACTTGTTGAAAAAAAGAGTGTTTTTTTTTTATATTTGTGGTATATTTTTGAAATAGGTATATAATAATAATAATAATAATAATAATAATAATATATTTTTTGAAATATTTATGTTTGATCATCAAAATTTTTATAAAATTTGAGAAATTATCTTATTGTTAAAAAGTCCAAAAATTGGACACGAAGCTTGACTAGACAGGACAGGGAACACCCATCCCCCGCTTTACCCCCATGATCCCATCAAACAGAAGGGGGAACGAGATGGGAGTGACCGGTGACGTGTGCATTTTTTACGCTTTTCCATTTTTGTATATCTGTGTGTAGCCGATTTTGTAGAAAATCCAGAATGAAGAACACCAAAAAAAGAGAGCAAATAAATTGGTCACCACTCACTTGGCTGCTGCTTATAGTTTTTCCTCCTCTATTTCCTACTGTCATTTTCAAGGGTGAAAATACTAAAGATTCTAATGAACGCTGACTTGGCTGCTTCTTATATTTTTCCCTCTCTAATCCGTATTGTGTCCTCTTTTATGGTTACAAAGCTGCTAACATCTTTGTACTTGGCCTATTCGTTTGATGTAATGTTAGAAAAATGAACTCATCTAATGATATCAACGCTCCCAGCGTTGATAAAAGATTTGTTTGGTAGTATTCCGTTGATTTTATAAGTTTATTTATTTTTACATAATTTATAATTTTCGGTAAATTGGTAAAAAAAAATTATAAATTTACAGAAAAACATTTTTTTATTTAAGCTATTAATTGAAATAAACTGTAGTCTATATGAAACTGACGAAATTATCAGCTTTTCTCCTTACAAATATAATAAAATTTAATTTTAGTTCTTTTTAAAAAATTATTCTCACAAATATTAATGTTCTAATAAAATTACTCAATGATAGCATGATATGAGTTTAAGCATATTATATTTACAACTATAATTAAAACATGTATTTTACCTTATTCTACCGTTGTCGTGGTAATGGACTAATGGGAAACAACTTTGTGTAAACCAAAGAGCAATTAAGGAACAGGGTCCATCTTCCGACTAACTTTTTTTTTTCTGGGCCAAGGTTAACAGATGAATGGAATTATATAAACCCAAATGATTCCTAAAGCATGTAAAAAATGCAGACATCTTTGATTCAATTGGTGGGGAGTGGTAAGGGAAGAATAATAGAATAGAAGGTGATGTGAGCCCCATTCTGAAAAACGCTTCTTGTTTTTTATGGTGGGTGGCGGTTGGTATTTGAGAATCTTAAATTACACACAGGAAATTTCGAGTTATCCACATCTTGCTCTGTCTAGTTAGTCTAAGCTTTGAAAAGCCACACAAAATACCAGCATAGTGCTCTAAATCCACTTGCCAAATTCTCATTAAACAATTGTGATGTTCAGTTTCTAGGAATGTGAATTGGGGGCAAGACCTCTGTGCCTCGAAATTATTTTAATCGAAAACAACTAATGCTGCTTAATTTTGGTATTTGGAATAAGAGGAATAGAAAGGTAAAATGTTAATAATAAGCCACGCATCATAGATCATGCCAATGTCATCATGATTGGGTCTTTGGTTGAGAAAGCTTGAAGACGTAAAAGAGCAGTGTTTTTCTAAGTCATGTTGACTGACTGGCTTGTTACATATCCTTAGGTTTAGGCGACAAATGGTGAAACTGAAACGAGTAGTGATATATTTATATTTATTACATGGCCGACCAAAGGGAGGGGCGTCCCAAACATATTTCATTGCGTCAATTGTGTTTCGAGACCGAGTTTAAGAAGGGATTTTGTAAGCTTAAACAATATAAAAGAAAGAAATAATATAGTACGATAATTATTAAAGAGGCTATGTTACATGGTGATCTTATTTATAATTAATGATGTAAATATAAATAAAATTTATATTTAATGCCCAAATATAAAGAAGGGCATTGTTATATAAGAGTGATAATTTTTAAGCTTTATCTAAAATATGTTATTTTAGGAAGAATGCAGACATTTTTCTTAAGCAACTTTTGTTGTATGTTGATGAAATTGGTGCATTAATTTTTGCACTCTCATTAAGTCTACAAGTCTTAAGTTATGCTATCTTGTGATGAACGATGTTAGCGATATCGTATCTCATAGGAATCTACGTCTCTTTCTTTTAGTGTTTAGACTTGTATCACATTCGTTGCATGTTTTGTGGAGGAATTTGTGCACTTTGTCTTTTTCTATTTTTTTTTATTTAGACTTTTCTAGTTTTTTTTTTCTAAGGCTCCAATAATAGTTATGTTATAATTAAATCAGGTCGTAATCTTGATTTGGATGAATTATTTGGGCTATACATCCCAAAAAATGTATAAAGTTGTTCTTGTATGAGTTTGCACTTTTAAAGTTATTTTTGTCTATTTTTTCTTACGTATCAAAATTTTTTAAATTAATTAAAATAGGTCAAAAAGATAATTAAAAATTTATATTATTAAAATATATATTAATTAAAATTTATTAAATTTATATAAAATTAGTCTTTTTTCCTTAACTTTAGAAAATTTTCAATTTTATTCTCTAATACTTCTTTTTTTTGTCCTTGAAGTTTTTTTTTTCTCATGTCAGTCATTTCTCTTAATTTTATTACCTAACTTAATAAAGATATCATATGTGGTGTTGAAATGACATTAATGTCATTAACTAGTTTTATCTAAACTTTTTAATTTGAAAGTCGTTGATACAAGTGGAGAGGTGGTCCCACCTCAACATCCTTTTTTTAGTCCTTGATGACAATCCTCACCTAGATCTGGTGACCACAACCTAGTAAAAGGATAAAGTAAAGCATTCCTGCATGAGAAAATAGTGAAGGATATAATAGGTTCGTTGTAGTTTTGGACAACATGAAGCTAGTAGAAGAAGACTCGTGAGGAGCAATCACATTCAAACCCATGAAGGAAATTATAAGAGTAATAGTGACTTGTGAAGATGTGGAATTGAGTTGTTCTAAATCATTACTAGGTTTTTTAGCATTTAAAATAGTTCTTGTGAAAAAGAATGACAGCAGAGTGAAAGATTTAGTTGTTTAAGAGATTGAGAGTTAATAAAACCTTTCTTCCAAGAAAATATTTGAAGAAACCGATGCGATGGTCTCTCTATATTAAGAATGAACTTCCAATTCAAAAATTTAGATGAAACTAGTTAACGAAATTAATGACACCTCAATACCACAGAAGAAGTCTTTGTTAAAATATCTAATAGAGCTAACAAAAATTGCTAATGTAAAAATAAAAAACCAAAATTTTAAAAACAAAAATAAATAAATAAAAGTTAAAGAACAAAAATAAAACTTACTCTAAAGTAAGAGGACAAAAAGACCATTCCTTAAATTTATAATGACTAATTATAATTATTAATATAAAAATAATTATAAATATTTAATCACAAAATAATACTTTCATTTTAATTATTAATACTAATTATTGGCGTCATTTTTACAAGTTAATTTTTAAATTAGTCTTAAAAGATCTATGGTCAAGCATTATAGTTTCTTAAAGTTTTATTTTTATTTTTAGTTTTTAAAAGTTTTAGTCTTACCAATTTAATCGTCGATGTCATTGATTGCACGACAACTATGATTAAATGTAAAGATATCATATTAAATAACATGTAAATTATATATATAAAAAAAATAATATTGTGAATTCATTAATTGTTTAATAAGTTATGTTATGCTTTAAATTTTATAATTTTTTTTATTTTTAATTTTTTAATATTGCTTTACTTTCTTTCTTTTTTTCTTGATGGTTTAGTGTATTGATATATTTTTTAATTACAATGAATGATAATAAAAATATGTTTGTAAGTTTATTTTCACTTTCTTTTTTTTATTTCCCTTTTGATTTTCTATTGTAATATTTGTCTTTTTACAACTTATTTTTGTTTGTTTGTGGCTTGTTTCTTAAAAAAGGTAGAAGTTACAAATCTTTAAAAGCTATAAAAAAAAAAGGCAAAAGCTATAAATACTTAATTATTAAATAAAAACTTCACTCATTACTTAACTAGCTAGTAAAAACAAAGATTAACATCAACAATAAAAAAAGGCTTAACTAATCAAATAGACGATATCATAATTTCTTAACCATTAATCAGAAGTCAGAAAGTATAAGCAAAAAAGAAACAATTGAAAAATCAAATCACTAAATACTTGGTGTGCAAAAGAAGAAAATGCATCAAGGTCTTTGAATATCTATGGTAGGATATAGACATGATTAGGTTTCGTCATGATCCGTCCAATAATTTTAACTTGATAAATACTGCTACTTATAATTGTGCTTCAAATAATCCAATTATAAACAAAACTGCCCAAATTTCAATCTAAATTTTCAATCTTTTCCTAACAATAATCTTTACAACTTGTGTATGAAACCCAGTTTCCCACTTACTCTAAAGACCCAATAACAATAAATACTGAAATCAAGTAAGAGACACAAGTGAAAATCACATCAACAAGACAAGCCCAAAGAAAAGTCAAGTTCCAAAAAGAAAAATGTATTGACCCAAACTCACTCATCTACATGGTTTTAATCTTTGAAATCATAATAAGAGACATTAATACAAAAAGAAACAACTGCAAGAGAAATGGCAACTTGTCCAACAATTGTAAAACCAATGTACTTGAGAAAAGAGAGAGCAAGCACTGACCCAATGAAGGCAAAATAGGGGTAA